TGTTGTGTTATTCCTTCTATGTTGAGGTACCTAATCTGTGTGCCGTCTAGTCTTTACCTTTCAGTCAATCTTGTTTGTGTTTTTGTTTTTCTAGTTAATGTCCAGGTTTTGACTTAGACTTAGCAGGAAGAATAGGAAAAAGTACATTTACTTCATCTTTGAATCCTCTTAGAACACTTTAATGTAGCTTACCATTTCATAGTTAGAGTAATAATATAGTTTCCTTGAAAAAAATTAATCTATTAAACCATCATCCAGTCACCTATTTCTAGTTTTTTCATTAAGTTAATATAAAGTAGGTATGTCACACATTATTTTATTATGTTTTTTCTTTTCATAAAGAGCAAATTTGGTAACCATTACAAATGGGAGTTTGCTTTTTCTCTCATCATTAACATTGTCTAATATTACAAATATTCAGTGTGTTCAGTTGAGATACATACTCACTTGTTCCCCTCTTTGTGATTGTACCCTTACCTAATGTGTAAGGTCCTATGACTAAACAGACCAAACCCCCATTATCCTCAAGCAAAAACTTAAGTCCTTACGGAAGCCAGCTGTCGCACCTTCCCACTGTGTAGTGATTGGTGGTTCAAACCACTGATCTTTTAGTTAACAGCCACAGTTTTTAACCAATTGCACTATCAGGCTCCTTCAGAGCTCCTTCAGAATAGTTCGTAGTGCTGGCAAGTAGGTGTGAAAGATGGTTGGTACGTTGAGGGCCTCAAGCTAATTGTGCCTGGTAGGGAGACTGGATTTGTGATCAAGGGAGTGTGCAGAGGACTATGTTAAAGAGAAAGACATATGCAATAAAATACTATGTGAGTGGTAGTGCTTATGACCCAGTCTGGTCAGGAGGGAATCAGTATAGAGTTGTTTTGTTTTGAATTTTCATAGCAGGTTGATTCATAAGAGTTTCAAACTAGAAGCTGCCCAAATATCCATCAGTAGGAGAATGAACAAACAAATGTGGTATATCTATACAATGAGTTCTCAACAATAAAAAGAATGAATTCTGATGCATGCAACTGCATAAATTTAAAATATATCCTGGGTGAAAGATCAGACAAAAAGAGAGTGCATGCATATGATTCTTTTTATATAAAACTCTAGAAAAGAGAAATCTAATTTAAAGTCCCAGGTTAGTACTGAGCCTGAGGGTATGGTATTGTCTGAGAAGCAATACAAGAAAACTTGTTTGGGTAATGGGAATGTTTTTACTAAACATTAAAGCTCATTAAAATGTACATGTAAAATATATGTATATTATTGCATGGACAATATATACAAAAAAGTTGACAAAAAATATAAGATTTTAAAATTTTACATAGGATATTACATTAATTTAAATCAAAATGATATAGTGGTTATATCGAGTCACTGATTTTTAATATTTCTTAAATATATTTTTGAAATGTTTAGAACTTTTATACTTCTGGCCTATAATTCACATACCATACAATTTTAATAGTTTAATCATATTAAAAAGAGTTGTGCAATGATTACCCTAATCAATTTTTTTTCTTGGACTTGTTAGCTCCACATTTTCTCCTAACCTACCCTGCCATGCCCCTAGGAAATTATTAATCCAGTTACTGTCTCTGTGAAAAATGTAGGAAACAAAAACCCCCAATAATTATGACAAATAAAACAAAAAAATCTAGAAAAGAAAAAGGTAGAGAATATTAAAAACTGGAACAAATTTAATATGAGTCAAAAGGGATGTCAAATGTTAAGATGTAACATTTTAACCTAACCACAGCTGCCATAGTCACAATGTTCTCTGATTGCAAAGCTATTGTGTTAGACAGGGTTCTCTAGAGAGATAAAACCAAATTCCTGAT